CTTCCTTAGTTTGTATTTTTAATTTGTACTGAAAATTCAGGACAAAGTTGCACATGTCCCTGAACCCCATGTGGCTCCCCAAAACCCCTCTACAAATTGCTGCTGGATTATGATTTTTCATAGGACAGACGGGAAAATTCTGAAATGCACGAGGAATAAATACATTAATGGTATTATTTTAATTTAAAATTGATTTTTATTTAATGTAATGGGATGGTTTACCAAATTTAGGTTTTTTGTTTTTTTTAATGAAATGGACACAACCAAAAATATCAAAAACAAACAAACAAATAAATAAATAAATAAAAATTAATAAGAGGAGAATAAGGTGGTAAAAAACAAAAAAGAGGACAAAGAACAATTTGGAGGTACTTATGCATGGAAACGCTCATATGTGTTTCTAGTGTTTTTTTTAATCCATTCAATTGTGTCCGATTCTTAGAGAATGCCTGGACGAGTCCCTTCAGTTTTCTTGGCAAGGTTTTTCAGAAGTATTTTGCCATTGCCTGCTTCATAGGGCTGAGAGAGAGTGACTGGCCCAAGGTCACCCAGTTGGCTTCATGCCTCACATGAGACTAGAACTCATGGTCTCCTGCCTGATGCCTTAACCACTGCCCCAAACTGGCTCTCAGGTGTTCAAGTGTTGCACGAATTCAAGTGTAACATGAATATAAATGTACAAAGATGTTTAACACTTGTTTTAAAATGGATTTTTTTGCCAGATCTACCCACTTTGACTTGGTCTTGGAGCTGCTGCCGTCATAGTTCTCAAAAGCTAGTTGCACTTATTCCACCACCACCCCCATATACACGCATTAACCCCTTTTAAGGACTGGTGTCCGAGTCAGCTTTAGTCCTTTCACCTTCTCATCTCTTTTTCCTTGGGCCCCATATTCTAGATTTAAGCTTGATGGTGAAGAATACCCTCCCTCCCTCCCTCCCTCTGAATCCATAAGCTCCCATTAGATGCAGAGAGGGCACTGTTTTAGCCTTACGGAGTAAGGCTGTCCTCCAAAGAAGAATCTTCTGGCATGTTCCAGGTCTTCTGAGCTATAAAGGATGTCTTCAGTGGACACACAGAACATCCTGTGGAAGCCACAGAAATGGAGCCTTGTTGTGTTATTAGAGGAAGGGATCTTTTTCCTGAATAATTACTAAATTCATCTTTTTTGGATATGCCAGCAGTCTGTCTTACCTGCATATGTCACTCAGCAAACTGATAGGCAGTAAATTGCTCACATTCGGAATTGGAAGAAAGGATGGTAAAAACGAAAAAGAGAACAGATAATGTTCACAATTCATGGGGTTTGGAGTCTAGAGGAGAGAGTAAGTCATCCATATGGACAGTTCTAGGCCTTTCATTCTCATCACCATTGCTTAGGGGAAAGTGCTCAGCTTTCTAAGGGCCTTGTGATGCTGTTGGTATTAGGGTGAAGATTGAATGCCCGTTGCCAGCTTTCCTTAATCTCCCATGTGTTGAGTTGCAATGCCTACAACCTTGATCAATGAAGGCCATGCAAGCTGAGATGTGACCCATGTTGTAGTCTGACACAGCTACAGGATGTCAGCAGGCCTTTTGTGAACAGATATTTATTAATTGGTCTGTCAGCTTGTATGCCCTCTAAATCACAGACATGAACAAAAGAGATTTTTTTTCCTAACAAAGTGGCTAGGATGATAATGAAGATGATAATTAGACAATGATAACACCCAACGTATTTCAGAAGCGCATTTCTTCTTATGGGAATGTCCTTGTGTTGGCTTCAGAATTATTGATTCTACTGCTAACATTTGCAAACCCTATTGGATGGTTGCACTAAGGAAATAAATATTCTTGGGCCTTCTTCCTTCCTGCTTTTGCCCTTTCAGACAAACATGAATGGTTGTGAGGTTTGTAACACTTTTTTTCCCCCCAGAATCAGCAAAGGATGCTGTGGTTAAAGACAAGAAGAAAATAGCTAAAATATTAAATCCTTTCAATTGAGATAATTCAGGTGGCAAGATTCAGGTTATCTTAGCATAGGTTGTTTTAAATGTATTTGATTGATTATATTTATATCCTACCGTTCCTCCATGAAGCTAAAAGCAACATACATGATTCTTTTTCTCCTTGGAATACTATCTTTGTAATATCTGTAAAACAGGATGGATAGGGTAAAAGTTCATCCTTGCTCCTAACGGCTCTCACTCAATGTCTGGAGTGATACATCATCTGTAGCAGAGCTTGACTTGGATTATTCTATGTCCTTCCTTTCCATCTCCTTCACCACCTACAAGGCATTCCCTGCTTCCTTTTGTGCAGAGTGTACAGGCTGTGTTGTTAAGAGAGATGCACAGATTGGTACAAGAAATGAGGCGTTTGCTCAGATGGGAACGTTCTCTGAGAATGTGGTGCTCTGGCAGTTTGGTCCAATTATGTAGATTCGATGCTTAAAATAAGTAACTCTTTCATTGCCTTCTTTCCTAGAATATCATTCTGTCCAGTGCAGCAGAAAAGGTAAGGATGGGTTTGGATATTACTCTGATTCTTTAAGGATCAGCAATTGTTTGAGTGGGTGCCTCCTTTATTTAAAGCAGTCTGTTAAAGTCATTCAGCCAGTCCATATTTGATTTTCTGTGTGGCTCATTCAAGTGCCCTGAATTCCCCCCTTCCTTCCATTGCAAAGATAAGGGACTCTCTTGTACCTTCTAGCTCATAATTACACTTCTGCCATTCAGCAGCTTGTCAAAAAATCCACTGGAACTGGGAGAGGTTTGACCGTAAGTCCATAAATACTGACTCAGTTTAGACATGAAAGGAATCAGGGAAAAAAGTGGTCCTTGCCTGCTAGACATCAGATGTATATAATATTGAATGCCTGTGGCCAGAGAAGGACCTAATCAGATGAATCATTCTATTTGATCTCACTTTCTTTCCCACCCTCGCCTTCCAGGCCATGTCTATAGGCAGGGGTGTCAAAAAATTCAAGACGGCGGTCATGGCAGCACATCAAAAGGCCTGCCTCTTTTGTACATGCATTTAATGCACAGGCATTCGATCGTGCTGTCGTGACCACCATTTTGACCTTGTGACACACATACACGCACGCACACACCGCCCACAAATGCCACT